AAAGTAGTAAGACAAACTTATCTTTCCAGTGCTGATGCCGCGCGCTCTCCTATTGCGGTCTTTGATCCTGAAATGAGCTGATAATTAATCAAATGCAGCGCTTATCTTTTGATTTCGTTGACGTGAACTCTGTTAAATTTAAATATAGCGCCGGAATTGAAGATCGGATTTATATCCGTTTTGCAACGACACATGTATGTGGCCAAGTGTAAATGGAAACGTTTTAACAAATCAGACAAGATATCCGATCAGCGAAAACGCATGAAATGACCAGGCGTAAACAGGCCCTAAAACATTTGATTAAAATGTTGAAAAGTGACTTTTCGCTCAAAGGCCGCGACACAATTTGTTGTGTGTGTGTGTGTGTGTGATCCCAAACCTAGTGAGCTGACTAGACAGACAGCATTACTAGACACCATCATATGACTCCAGAAACGCTCGGAGCGCACGGTGATGCCCAAAAATGCTGAACGCACCTATTCCCCAAAACGCTTAGAGAGAGAACGCGGAGACATTCGCTTTGACACAGTTTTGAGACATTAGCCAAACCAACAATTCATCGTTTGAGCTACCAAATGTTTCTACGAGTATTCAAATAATATCCTTGTTAGGTCCAAATCGCCTGAGAACACAAACGTGTTACATTAGACTTCTTCTGAGATCTGAGAACCATCCTCTTTAGGGACTTCTAGAAAAAGTCACACACACACACACTCCCGTCACAAACAGATCATTTTAAGAGTCACCCCACAAACACAAATATTAATGTGATACTGTACGTCTATAGCAGACGCTGCATGTTATTAAAGCGCGCCTTACCTCCTGCTCAGCAATGCGTTCGCATTCAGAGATGAAGGGCTTCTGCTGTAAAACTCTGGATGTGAGAAGCTTTGAGACGTGGCCTTTAAGAGTGATTGGCAGGCGGTGGGCGGGGCTCCACAGTGAGCAGCCTTCTGCGAGACGACATGAACTTCTCAGAGTGGACGCTTTGTCTCCTATTCCTTTGTGTTAGGAATAATAGCAAGCTTATTTAAAAACGGGTATAGGTGTCATTTTAATTTTAACTTAAGATGTAGTACATTTCTGTATACTAGAAAAGACACATTGTTATTCAGCTAACCTAGCTTTATCCGGGTTTTCCTTAAAAATGGATATACACAGATTAAATCCTTGCACGATATAAATGTAAATTCACCGATTCAGAAAGAGCTCCATAAGGCATTATGCTTTCGCAACAAGGATGAATGAAACAGGAAAGCATTGCATCTGTATCCTGTCCATTGTGCCAGACTTCCTGTGCTTGATCTCATTGGTGGACGTGGAGGAGAATACAACAGCTAGCACAGAGAATATTAGATATACAACATTTGTGAAAGTGTATCTGTGGAGCCAACTGAGACGAAGACAAGAGGAACATAAGCAAACATATGATGTGCTTTTGTTTGGTTTGAGTTAACAGCAGTGTTCTTTCACTTAACCACTGACAATAATCTTCCAGAGGATGTTTATCACATTATTTATTGTCAAACGGCAACACTAAATATCCAAACTATAACTAAATATCCAAACTCAAAGCACGTACCAAAACACCATAGTAATATTGTGAAATATAAGTGACTCACAGCACTGACTAGACATCAAGCGTAATAATTCAACTTTGTTGATGAGCATTATGCGTTTAACTGTTACTCGTGCTCCAAGAGGAATCAGAAATGCAAAAAAACAAAAAAACACCTCAAGGGCTTTTCATGGTTTTTGTGGATTTGAAAACATCAGCACGAGGTCTTTGAGGTCATTTCATACAACCTGAGTTTATCACATGCTTTGTTTGAGGTTTTGGCTTGAAGTATTTCTTCTATCAGTCTTTAAACACAGCAAGTAATATTTTGCGCAGTATGCGGCAGAACTCGAAGTACTTTAAAACCAGAAAAACCAGCGACTCCGCAAGCATCCTGGTGGGAATTCCTTATGAATGCACTTGAACTGAACAAAGACTATGTATATAGACAAACGATGTATATAGAAAACGCATTAGCAAACACTAGTCCTCAACAACAAATGAAGGTCCTGATAATTGTACAATAAAAAATAAAAAAATCATAAAAACAGTAAAAATGTCAGGAGCTGTGCTGTTTAAACGGCGGTACTGTGGTGGTTGGTAAAACCTGGTTTTGAAAGACGAATGTTTGAATGTGCTGGAAAACCCAGAGAAAGATGAGCAGGACGCTGACATACTGAATCCAGGCAAACTTGATCGTTTCCCAGAAGCCCGGCCGATAGGTAGAGAAACCAGTCAAGGAAATTAAACTTGAGCTGATCAAATCAAACATGAGTGGAGCGTCTAGGAATAATGCATAGAAGTCAGGAAGAGACATTTGCAACTCAGTCACTTCATGTGTCCAATATGTGACTAAATTAAAAGCATACAAGTTCCGGTCAAAACAATGTCATCCGAAAGAAACGTTTTCCCCTTTTTTTGGTATCAGGATTTTATTGTAGACCAGATGGTTGATGTTAGTAACCAAGCATGAAGCATACAAAATGTGCACTATATACCCTCAAATAGAGAATCTTTTACAAAAAAAGGATTTGTAAATTTCTGTCATAATTTAATCACCGTCATGTTCAGATCACTTTAAGAGATTGTTCTAATATGCTTATTTATTACCAGTGTTGGAAACAGTTGTGCTGTTTCTTTTTGAACCTGTGATACTTTTTTTCAGGATTCTTTATTGATTAAATAAAGGGAAAAAGAACAGCATTTATTTGAAATCCAAATCTTTTGTAACAATATAAAATGTATATTGTTAGAAAAGATTTCTATTTTGAATAAACTTTTTATTTGTCAAAGAATCCTGAAAAATCACAGGCTACAAAAATATTAAGCAGCACAACTGTTTCCGACACTGATAATAAATCAGCATTATCAGAGTGATCTCTGAAGATCATGTGACACTGAAGACTGGAATAATGATGCTGAAAATACAGCTTTGATCACAGAAATAAACTATACTTCAAAGCATATTAAAATAGAAAACTGTTATTTTAAATTGTAATAATATTTCACAATATTAGTGTTTCTTTCTGTATTTTTGATCAAATAAATGCAGCCTTGATGAACATAAGAGACTCCATTAAAAACATTCAAAAATCTTACTGATCTCAAACTTTTGAACTTTTTTGGACCCCATTGTTCTTCAATTAGCTTATTTGTGTTCCGCAGAAGAAAGCACTCTTTGTGTATTGAATACACATATCTAAAGCACACGTAAATGTAAAGGATATGTAATAGTCTCGACGGGATAGTTGATCTGGGCGCTGATCTGGAATGGAGAATCTGCAGCTCTGCCCACCGTCCACACGGGAACGACACCCGAGAGGTGAGCGCTCACTGACAAGACACATTTGAGATCGACAGAGATTTGACAAATAAGGTTTTAGTATTCCATAACAAAGAAACAGAAAATACAGCAACAGGTGATGAACACAGAAATAAGCTCAGAGCATCCTAGAGGAGGACGCCACTGAAAAATACAGCCTAGAGTCAATGCAAATCTCAGATTTTTGAAAGCAATGAAGCGAAAACAAGGACGGCGAGAGAGGCTCTGGACATATTCATGACAATAATGATATGTTCCTTATCTTACAGTTTCTCTGCTGGTAGAGTCTAATGATGTTGGCCAGGTCATATGTACTCGCAAACGGACTGGATGCATCGATCAGCGATACCTAGCAAAACACAATCTGCACTCAAATCAAATACGTTCCAAATAATTCCATTGCTGAATTTTTTTTATTCACGATCTTCCTGTTGACATGCTTTTGACAACATTGCAGCTTCGCAAGTCAAACCGGTTTCCAGCAATGAGTGAATCATCAGATTAATCTGTATGTAGGTCATACGCCGGGGATCTCGGGTTATACTCACGTTGTACATACTATGCAAACCTCGGTGAGGAAGAGGGCTTCGCTGGTTTAGCTTCAGGTCTCCGCAGACGAACAGCTGAGATCCTGGGACAGGCGAGGAATGCTGCACAAAGGCAAGCGTCTGCATCGCAACCGTAGACATTCGCTAGACAGACAGAGAGACAGATAAGTCATAGTTAAAGATATTAAAGATATTATATAAAGATATTAACACTGCACATTTATAGTGAGGCATTGGATTTGTGGCGTGTAGGAATGCACTGAATACACACAAACAGCTGGTATGAGAAGGTAAGGAGGAGCTGGATGCCGAACATCTGTTCTTCTGGCTTGAGTGGGATGTTGATTTGGAGCGTGAGGAGGTCAGATTTCCCATCCTGGTCTCTGTCCTCCTCCTGGACCTGAATAACGAACAAACCATGCTTTAATATGTGGCCCTGGAGCACTAAAGCAGTCCTAAGTAGCACAGGTATATTTGTAGCAATAGCCAACAATACATTGTATGGGTCAAAATTATCCATTTTTCTTTCATGCCAAAAATCATTAGGATATTACGTAAAGATCATGTTCCATGAAGATATTTTGTGAATTTCCTACCGTAAATATATGTGACCCCGGACCACAAAATGATGTATTCTGAAGTATGTATTATGTAAGCTGAATAAATAAGCTTTCCATTGATGTATGGTTTGTTAGGATAGGACAATATTTGTCCGAGATACAACTATTTGAAAATCTGGAATCTGAGGGTGCAAAAAAATCTAAATATTGAGCTCAATGTTTAGATTTTTTTGCACCCTCAGATTCCAGATTTTCAATTAGTTGCATTTCAGCCAAATATTGTCCTATCCTAACAAACCATACTTCAATGGAAAGCTTATTTATTCAGATTTATTCAGCTTTATTTATTCATAATAAATTGACCCGTATTACTGATTTTGTGGTCGAGGGTCACATATGCTTCCAGAGTTTACTATTGCAATAGTGCAAAAATTAATGACATAAAAAGTTTCGTTCTCACAGAGACAGATGGGATGCGTAAATTATCTCCCATCAGTCGATTAAAGTTGGGAAACGTGCTCCATGCTATATAGCTCCCTGCTGTGTCTGTTGCTCCGATCACGATCATGTCATACTGGAACTGAATGACTGCTTGCTCTTCATATGTGCTGCTCTTCAGCCAGAAGCCTGTTCGTAAAGTAGAGTCGCTTCATGTCATCACATGAGCTCTGGAATCTGGAAATTATTTGCTTGCAATAAAACGCAGTTTACCTTGACTTCTGTAAGCCACCAGAAGAGGCGAAATATACGTGAGGCATAACACCACACAGACAAACAGCGTCGCTCTCGTGCAGACGCGTGTTCTGTATCTTATTAAAGCGGGACGGGTGTAAACGTCATAAAAAGCCATTGTTGCTAATAACACTGCAGTAAATATTAGCTCCCATCCAACACCATTAAGCGCGTGTATATCCGGCGTGCATTGTCAAATACATTCACCAGCAACGATCAACAAAAATCTATTTCGTCTAAATAGTATAACACTTTTGGGGCAAAAACCTAATAAAGTCAAAACTTGTGAATAAGTTAGCAAACGAACCGGTGGCGCGGCGTCATCTGTTCACCATAGCAACAGCGCGAAACTCGGCCTTTTGCGAAGTATGCGCATTATTAGATATGAATTAATCTAAATCACGTTTACAAACAAAACTTATGAGTTTAATCACTCGGTTTCTGCTATCGAATAAGTGTAGCTGCTGCAAAATGTACGAACTCGTGTGAGAAAACAACCCCGGAATCGAGCGAATGGTACAGCCGCGCCGTGACGCAGGCGCGCTGTCGCGGTGACGTCACTACGGCTCGCCTGGAGACGCACGTCTGCTGCCGTTACGTTGTTGACGTTTTTAGTTTTGAGATTTCGTTGGCTTCAAATCATCAGATATTTTCGTTAACAGGTCGCTCCTCGAGCAATACCTCTGCAAAAATGAAATGGATGTTTAAAGAGGACCATTCTCTGGGTAATTCATCGAAACTGTCATGTTATTATCAACAACGGCCTGTCAGATGCGAGTAGTTATTGATCTGTTGGTCAGTCTGGTGCTTTTACCTGCTAACTCGATCTAGCTCAGCTTGCGATCTAAGACTTCATTTGTCTGCTGATGTCGGGCCTGTTGTGTGCTGCTCATAATAACGACATTAATAACGATAATCACACCGTAGGAGAGTCAGCCTCTGGTTGTTTTATCAGCATTTGATAACAGTGATTGTTTCTCTTTCGTTTTAGCATGTCATGTTTAGCATACAAATGCATTAATGTTTTATATGACTTATATGAGATATTCACATGTCTAATGTGTATGTAAATATTTGGTAATTGAGCTTATGTTACATGTAACTAAATTACGCAATGCAATTACAAAATAAATGTAATTGTAATCCGTTACAGTTGCTGATAAAAAATGTAATTAAATTACAGTTACTTATGAAAATGTTACATCTGATTTTTTTTACACACACTCGCATACAGATTTGATTGATTCCTTTCATAAATCGCAGTGTTTCTTGTCATAACTAACAAAGATTTCATTTTAAAAACAGTATCATAGCTACTAAACTATTTCTTATTATGGTTTTAAATCTGTATTTAACCTCAGAATGACCTCAAAGTAAGTCTTATTTTGTGGTAGCTGTGCTTTAAAATTAAATTATTATAACCTTATTCAAGTGATGAAGGATTTCGAAAGTGACAGTAATTAGTGTTGAGTACTGTAAAGTTAACCCGGCCTGCTTTTCATGTTTGAAACAGTTGAAAATATTAGAAATTTAGAAAAGTAATCAAATGTAATCCGTTACATTGCATTAATAAAGTAATTGAAATAGTTACACTACTTATTACATTTTAGATAGGGTAACTTGTCATCTGTAAGCTATTATATTTCCAAAGTAACCTTCCCAACACTGTTAGTTACACTGTCGAACAATGTGTGTGCTTGTGTGTAGTCTTAAATCTATTTATAATTATTAAAAAAGAATGCGGATGAGTATGACTAATGAGAATCCATTCGTGTTCCAAACACTCTCTAATGAATATTAATGATGTGAAGAGCATTGCATGGTGGCTGATCGATGTCTTGTCTTTCTGCATCCATCATTCAGAGCACAGGTGTGTGGAGTCGGCCAAAATCCGCAACAAGTACCCAGACAGAGTTCCTGTGAGTATGATATGAAAAATTCAACATGGCCATAGCCTTCCCGATTTTAAAATGTATGATGATAAGTCATAGTAACAGAGCTTATCACTGTTATGCACGTTTGGGGAAAATCTAAGTTGTGGATCAGAACAAACCAGGAGTCATTTCTCATCTGGAAGGAATGGGGTTGTCACAATAATCACAGTTTCAGTAGTCGATACCAATGCCAGTGACATTTGATGATATTCCCATAAAACCAGTATGCTGTTGAAAACATGCCAGTTATCAGATAAAATAAACAAATTACCAGGTCAATTAAGGAAAACCATTAAACACAATTATATCACACCATGGAAAATTATTAAGCATCTTTATTTGTCACTGACCCATTGTTATTTGACTAATAATAACCATATCATAGACAACAGCAGGTCTAAAGACCCTTTCACACCAAACGTAAATATTTGGCACAAAGTTTGTTTGTTTTTTCCTTTGGACAGTGTGTCATGCTATTTTTCTTCATCCTTGCAATAAATAAATCTAAATCGATTAGATATCAACATTTCATGGTGCTAATGCACTGAAAGCTATTTGCCAACCAGCAATAAACACCAAAGGATCTTGAATCAGCATTGAAGATAGATGTGAAGTGGCTGTTGTCTTTTTTCCTCTCCACACATACGGAGCACAAGCCTAAATCAGCAATGTTTGCAGTTCATGAGCCTTTGAACTACAAACATAACCTGCAATCAATGAGCTATTTGCATAAAATGTTCTGCAAACATTCATCATTTTCATTTGCGTAAGACATTTACCAACCAAAAAAATCCAGAAAAAACACTTTATATAAAGGTTATAAATTGATTTGCATTTCAGTGAGTGAAATAAGTATTTGATCCCCAAGCAAAACATGACTTAGTACTTGGTGCAGAAACCCTTGTTGGTTACTTATTTCACTCACTGAAATGCAAATCAATTTCTAACCTTTATATAAAGTGTTTTTTCTGGATTTTTTTGGTTGGTAATCTGTCTCTATCTGTTAAAATAAACCTACCATAAAAATTACAGACCCTTAATTTCTTTGTAAGTGGGCAAACTTACAAAATCAGCAGGGGATCAAATAAATATTTTCCCCACTGTATATACACATATATACACTATACTGCCAAAAGTATTGAGACACTTCCTTCTAATGAACAGGTTTGACTACTTTAGTAATTTCCACGAGTACAAATCTTAATGTTTAAGCATATAATGATATTCTAGGGAATTGTGTGCTTCTAATTTTACCGCAGCAGTTTGGACAGGACCCTTTTCTATTCTAACATGACAGTGCCTCTGTGTATAAGGCAAGGATCAAAAAGAAATGATTGATTGAGTTGGTGTGGAAGAACTTGACTGGTCTTTACACCTCTGCTGTGACTTTAAATGCTGACCCTGAGCCAAAAACTCATCGCCAAACACCAATGACTTGTACGTACACTATATGGACAAAAGTATTGGGACACCCCCTTCTTTAGAACAGAAAAAGGCACTTCCAAAACTGTGGCAACAAAGATGGAAACATAATTCATGTATTTAAAAATTGTATTTCCATCCCTGTTGCAACAGGTTTGGAAGTGTCTAAAATGACTGCACCCATATGTACAAGTCATGGGTGTTTGAAGTTCATACAAATCCTTTTTAAGAGAAGAAACAAAAATGTGTGAACATTGTGTCATGATGAAAGGTACTGACGGGACAGATGTGAATTTGCCCAGGTTAAAAAAAAGTACACTTCCATAATGTACTTAAAGTGCTCTGTTTTCGCGCACTAATTTTGTACTAAATATACGAAAATGATTCTTTAGTGCTTTTTAAGATCAACTAAGTATACTCAACTGTGCTATTTTGGGACACCATGAATATGAACTAAAATGCGCTTTTAACATACTATCTCTGTATTTATTTACCACTTGTAGTACACTTGAGCCCATCTTTCATAAACTAGTGCACTCAAGTGTACTACAAGTGGTGACTAAAAACATTTTTTAAATAGAGATAATATGTTAAAAGCGCATTTTAGTTCATATTCCCGCTGTCCCAAAATAGCACAGTTGAGTACACTTAGTTGATCTTAAGTTTATCTTAAGAAGTACTAAAGAGTCATTTTTAGTGCAAAATTAGTGCGCGAAAATAGAGCACTTTAAGTACATTATGGAAGTGTACTTTTTTTTTTTTTTTTACCTGGGTGTGCAATGGCCCTCTTTACTCATCTTGCAAAGAAAACTTTTTTTTCCAAGTAAATCAAAATTCATAGAAAAATGGTGAAGTTTGAATGTTTTTTTTAACACTGAATGTTTTTACTGTCAGCTGTGATTAAATTCCACCATACAAAATACACAAATGACTTTAATGTCTTGTCTGTGTTTCCTTTTTTATATTTATTGCAACAATAATTGTTGAGCTTGAAAGTGCATTGCAGCTTGTGCCATCTCTTGTGTTGAGTGAATGAGCTTTTGATTTAAGGCCGACAGATGCTTGTTTCTCTCTTGGTGTGAACGGACCACTCGTTGCTGATTCTGTGTGTGCGCAGCAGTCAAAGCAGTAAAACACCTTCACATCATCATTAAAAAGTGCATGCTTTATAACATATGACTGCCTTTGTTTGCTCTCTCTTGTGTTTATCAGGTTATTGTAGAGAAAGTTTCTGGTTCACAGATTGTGGACATTGACAAGCGAAAGTATCTGGTCCCATCTGACATTACAGTGGCTCAGTTCATGTGGATCATCAGAAAGCGGATCCAGCTGCCTTCTGAAAAAGCCATATTCCTTTTTGTCGACAAAACTGTCCCTCAGTCCAGGTAAAATCCTGTTTTATTTATTACAAAGACTCTACTAAGTACAGTGCCTATAAAAAGTATTTAACCCGCCCGGACTTGACAATGTTAATAATATCGAGTCTGTGTCAAAAATATCAAATTCAAGGAACACTCGAGTTAAAATCAATTAACAGCACTTGGGTATAATGTCAATTACCACAAAAAACAGTCTCACAATTAAATCATTTCACAAAATTCGTGGTGAGAGTAATGCACTTACAGTGTTAGAACATCAATGTTAAAATACTGTTTCAAAAGCATGACTGAAATGAGACTAGTGTGATGCACTGGATTGCAGTCAGAAGTTATTACAAATGCTCAGTGGTGATTGATTAAAGTAAGTAAAAGTGTTGAATTATTCTCATTAATAGCTTGAAGCTAATTGTAGCTATAATTTCTCTGTTACCCGTATACGATTATATTTCATGATCTATTTTATCAAAAGAAATCACAAGTTCATAAGAAAATGTTTAGTGTTCTAAAAAGATGTTTAGTTATAGTAACACAATGTATATCGGGATCAGAGGGATGAAGGCAAGCCATGTAATGCCACAACTTACAAATCGGCGTTCAGATCATCTTTTCTTCTGACAAAATCAATGTAATGGCAATATTTCCATCCGCTGAATGTAAGCTTTTCCATATTCCAAGCTTGCCTGCTGACTTCATGTGTTCACGAATTATGAAAATAAATCTAGGAATTATTGGATTGTTGGATTTCAGATCAGCAGGGGTTGACTAGCTGTAACTAGCTGTTTTATGGATGGTAACTGTAATATCTTATTAGTAATTACACTACTAGCTACACTACTGCCAAACACTAATTACTGATGTATTTTATGCTGTGAAATAAAGCGCGGAAATATCTTGAGCTTGTTTTAAACACAAACCTTATTTGACCAAACACCCATTGAGGATGGTGGAAGCACAAGTACTAAAATGTGATCTCGATTCTGGATTTTGGCCTACAAAACTGGGTGGGGTGAAAACTTTTTTTGTATGCACCAATAAATTAAAAAAAACCACTACCTTTTAACAGACCAAACTAAGCACATATCTCATGGCAAATATTCCAGGAAATAAAGAGGACAATGACACACCGGCTATAGGAATTCAGTTTTCTGAAACATCTGCAGGAGTCTAGTATTTCCTTATACAGCAGACATGCTCACAATGTAGATTTATTTGAATTGCTTCCTGAACATGCAACATTCAAGCTGATGAAACACTATAGGGCTGTGATTGTGTTCATTAACTGAAGATATGGCATCAGATTTCATATGAAAGAGAAGGAATGTTTTCCTGTGACGCCGCAGGTCACACCCAACATCCTCCTTTTACATCCATTTATAAATAATCTCTATTTACCTCCTCCACCTGCCATCTCAAATAGACTCACCTGATATTCTCTAGTTTACTGATGCTTGAGAACACCGCAAAACAACAGGCTACAGAAGTGAACGGGGTTTGTTTTGTTTTTTAGCAAGGATTTATTTTGGATTAATCTGTTCAGAGGTATTCGTTGTTGTGCCTCCTTTTGATGTTTGCACACAAATTGTGATTTTCCCTGCCTGTCGCTTAGTGGTTCAGTTCACACAAAATACCTGTGCATTCGTTCATTTTATTTAATTGAATACATTAACCTATATGGTTTGGACAAGTGAAAATCTGCATCTATTTCTACGAACGTCAAAACACTTACGATCCCCATTGTTGTTTCAGTCTGACTATGGGGCAGCTCTACGAAAAAGAAAAAGACGAGGACGGCTTTTTGTACGTGGCCTACAGTGGAGAAAACACGTTTGGATATTAGGATCCCTGCATCATCCCATGCTGTGCAACACATCACTCCCGTTTCTTTTGGACTGCGCGATTGGGAACAAGATCGACTCCTCTGTGAATTAACCACATAGCAGATGTGTTTGTACCTCTATTGTCACATTGTGCTCTGAAACATTAGATCGACTGCATTAGTGATTTTTCTTCTTTTGGTGAATGGTGTTGCAGTATTATTACAGACGCTTAATAATGTTGACACTGACAATATATAGTAACTTTTAATGTTTTAATTTATCTGTATTTTTCCCCTGTAAATTATATATTTAAGATAATTGAAAGGTAAGGTAGCTGGATGACCTAACCAATAAAAACAAACACCAAAAAGTAAACCGACTGTCAATATGATTTATTGAGACCCACTATTTCAAAGAATCTTTTTCACAAATAAAAAAAAAAAGGTTCTTGAGGTCAATCATACAGGTTTGGAACAACATGATGAGAATTTTCATTCAACTATCCTTTAATAATATAAATACAAACCTCATGGACCAGAACATACACAGTTCCAATGTAAGCTTCAAGGCAAAGTTCACCCGATACTGAAAAACGAGATAACTCGCCTGATACTCTTTCTCACACCACAAATGCAAATACTGACCGGGGCTTTCAGTCTAACAAAAACCATACTATGGAAGTGTTACACAATAGCTTTCCACTGAAAATCTTCCCCTCGTTCAAACATGGCTGATCATGAGACATTTGAAAGCCAGTGGTGTTTGGCATCAATGAGATTTGAGAGCTACGGCAGTGGAAAATCTTCCATTTCAGCTCAAATGTTTCTCACACAAAGCTCCTGTAGGACTTTAACAGATTTGGAACGTATAGCGTAGTATACATATTGCTTTTTTTGGTTTATAGCCCCTGGTCAATATATACTTTTGCTGAATGGAGAACAGAGCGAGCCTGCTAACATCTTTTATAATAGAAATGAACAGAGAACAGAAGATAGAAATGGCAACCCGGGTAAGTAAACTCTGCAAATTATAAATTTTAGTTGCTTTTACAGTTCTGCTGTTTTAAGTACAGCGTTGGGAAGGTTACTTTGGAAATGTAATAGGTTACAGATTACAAGTTACCCTTATTATTACATTTAAAATGTAATAAGTAGTGTAACGATTTCAATTACTTTATTAATGTAACTGATTAATGTACTTTTTGGTTACTTTTCTAACTTTCTAATCAATGTTTTGAACTGTTAATCATTTTGAAACTTGTAAAGCAGCAGGGTTAACCTTACAGTACACTGTAAAAAAAATCCGTAAAATTTAGAGTAAAAAAACTGCAGCTGTGGTTGCCGGAATTTTACCGTAAAAAATACGGTAGCAACGTTTTAGGTTTTACGGTTTTAACTTAAATTTACAGTTAAATACCGTAATTTCATTAACTGATATAATGTTAATATACCAACCTATTGAAGTACTGAAATCTGTTTTGTACCTTTGTAATACACTGATAACCACCAAATGCAGATGGTGATGAGAAAGTCACATGATGAACCAAAGGCCATCACAAGCAGCTTTTAAATAATAACATATATAGAAGGCGCACAGTGTCATTCACACAAACACTAAACACCATCATGGCAACACACATTAAACTTAAATAATGCAATAAACATTAATTTAACAACATTAGGTGTAACACACAACCCTAACACACAAAACTGATAAGAAAAAACTAAGAAGAAACATAGTTATTTCAACAAAAAAACATCAAATTTGAAATGTAACGCAGGGAATTCTGGGAATGTCAATTTACGGTTATTCACTGTAAATTATACGGTATTTTTCACTTCCAAAAACGGTATACTACCGTAAAATTAATGTCCAATACATGTAATGTCCAATACAGTTTTTCACCGTATATAGTAGGGGAATTTACCGTTAACCATTTAACAGGTTTTTACTGTAGCATTTTTACAGTCTTTTACCGTTAAATTCACGGTCATTTTTTACAGTGTAGAGTTCAACACTGATTACTGTCAGACTTTTAAAATCCTTAATCACTCGAATTAAGATCATAATAATTTAATTTTAAACCACAGCCAACACAAAATCAGATTTTAGCACATCTTTTTACTTTGAGATCATTCTGAGGTTAAATACAGATTTAGTTTCATAAGATATAGTTTAATAGCTATGATGCTGTTTTTTAAATCAAATCTTTGCATAGACAGCAAACACTGGCATCTAACAATGCTTCAGAAGAAACAGTTAATCTTAAAAAATAAAGCATATACATAAACCTAAATAGGAAATGAAACAGTTATCGAATAAGCATGTGTCCTAAACTCCTGAAACATTGGTGTCTCATATTTTAAAGCAGTCAATGCAATTTATGAAAGAAACCAATTAAATCTGAATCTGTGTGAAAATATTCAGATGTAACCCCTCTTTGTAATCATTTACATTTTTAGAAGTAACTAAATTGCACATTTTTTCTCAGTAACCGTAACCGTAACAGATTACAGTTACATTTATTTTGTAATTAAATTACATAATTTAGTTACATGTAACTAGTTACTCCCCAACACTGTTTAAGTAGCACAGTATTTTACAATTTTTTTTTTAACATTTATTTATTTGATCTCTGCTGGAGCCTGGAGTATAAGACACAGCTTTTATTCATGTGATCCGTTCAGGACACTGATATGGTAAAGTCTAGTCCGCTAGGAAAACAGCAGCAGTTCTGGCGGGCTGCGGGGCCACAGCGGGAAGACCTGCAGACGCAGCTGTGTCCAGGCCTGCTGATACGGCCCTGCTTGTAGTCCCAGTACGTCTTCAAATCTTTTCCACTTCAGCGAGCGCAGAGAAGAAACAAACACATCGATCAGACACAACAGATACACAAACAACACCTGCGCGCTGTAGGGAGAGTGCAAGAGAGGTCAGAGGTCAACGTGACTTTAAGGACAGGCATGCATGGCATCACGTTTCTGCTTCAAACAAACAATCTAATGCTAGAAACATACTGTACTCTACACAAACGGCTGGCCGACGTATTGCAAACATCCGGTCCCATTGTTCAGTTGGGGAAGGTGACATATCATGAAAATATGACTTTTTCCATGTTTAAGTGGGTCCCCGGTGCATCTACCAACCCAGAAAGCTTGTGAAAAAATGAGCGCGTCTGAGTCAGATTTCGCTCCCTCTGTGACATAGAAAGGGGATCTTATTATAATATTACCACTTAATCTGCATGTTTCCACCCACGGCGCCGCCATTGTGTTTCCGCAAGCGACAACGGTGTACCAGTTCTAACTCCATGGTGAAAGTTTGAGCAAAACATTGCTAACTGTTCTGTCTTTGGCTGCACAGAGCACCGTTTAGTGTCCCAGCTTCAGAGGAGGCAAGAGAGCAGTGGATTTATTGATTTATTTATAATCAGAATCAGAAGAGCTTTATTACCAAGTATGTTTACACACACAAGGAATTTGACTTGACGACAGGAGCTTCCAGTGTAGAAGAAAGTACAAACATAGTGCAGACATACATGATAGTGCAGACATACATAGGAATAACACAGTAGGGATGTAATATAACACTAATATAATATAAAAAAATAAAAAAAAGAATTATTGTATATTACGCTGCTGCGACACAGATCTAAAATAAACATGACATTTCTTTCCCAGCTGTTTACCTTCACAGACATAACTGACTGTTTTTGTGTGTTTTTAACATAAACTTGTGCGTATTTGACAGTTTAAACGCAATACAACATGAAAGAGAACTTCAAATGTGTGCGCTCAGACAAACCTACATCAGAAGTTTAAACTAATATGGTTTAAGACATGATTTCAGCGCGATATACACGTTCATAAAAATTAGGTATGCATCGATCCGATATTCAGTATCGGTATCGGCTCCGATACTGGCATTTTCTGCCGGATCGGGTATCGGTCAGACCAGACCGATCCAAATCTGATATATTCTGTGTTATTGTTAAACCCCACAAAAGGCACAAAAACATTATAAAGCACCGTAAAGTTTTCATGCACAATATTCCAAGTGTTCTGAAGCTGTTCCATAGTTCAATGTGAGGTACAGACGAGTATTTAAGTCGTTAAATTCAAGTTCATGTAAACTCTTCTCTACGCTGCCGCTGTCTGTCATCCCATTCAGCATTCAAACTGCGTGTCGCGTTCAGTTATGACAGTCAAAACAATGAAACTTTCTCCAAGAGCGCACAGTAGTCAAGTTGAAAACTGTTAAATTAGTTATCCACTAACCTAGTTTATAATAGTATTTTTTGTCATAGATTATGATTATATATTATTTTCATTTGTTATTATTCGTTAATATGAAGTTGTCTATTTAGCAGATTGTGTTTAACACACAAAAGAGTGATGATCAGGTCAACACACAGAAGTATAGAAATTCTACATTGATTTAAAAACAAACTGCGCTGTATTGGATCGGATAGGTAGCGGCAGATACTCAGAATTTTTGGTATCGGATCGGTTCTGAAAAAATGGTATCGTTGCATCCCTAATAAAAACCAAACAGATATTTTTTAGCAGAGTATCTGAGATATGAGCTGTAAAGGCACAGCCCTATTCTGGAAAAGGGGGCGGGGAGCAGCAGCTCATTTGCATTTAAAGAGACATGCACGAAAACAGTCTGTTTCTGTCATTTTCAAAATGATACAATAAATGATCTGTGGGGTATTTTGAGCTGAAACTTCGCAGACACATTCTGAGGACACCTGAGACATATTATATCTTGTAAAAAGGGGCATAATAGGTCTCCGTTAAAGCATAAGTAGCTTATAGCTTGGTAAGCTAAAGTAGCACTTTACAGTCAAGCTAGTCTTTTAAGAAAATACTATGTATACTAAGTTATTAATAAAAGGTTTTTTATCAACTATCAGATTTAATTCCATTAAACAGACATTTTTCTTGTTTAAAAACTCTAACCTGCTCTGAGAGGTTCTCTTCAAACATTTGCTCTGCCTTTCCTAACATTCACACTTGTAATCTTTCCACTTTCGCGTTACACAATTGTTATTACTTACTATTTAACTGATTACAGTGCAAAGCTTGGATAGCGCTGAAATCTTTTCATTG